GAGAGAGAGAGAGAGAGAGAGAGAGAGAGAGAGAGAGAGAGAGAGAGAGAGAGAGAGAGAGAGAGAGAGAGAAGCGCAATCTCAGAAAATGACTGTGCAGAACACCAGAGTCATTATCACACCAATGACTCTCTTGTCGTTACCTGCCTACACCTCTTGCGTGTCACACATGGTTAACGAGACTAACCATGCAAAGTACTGAAAGACAGTGAAAACGTTATTAGTGAAAGCATGATTTGTTGGACTTCTTTTCTTTTTCTGATTCTTTTTTCTTTTGCCTGTTTTTGTCTTAGTTCAAGTTTGCTGTGTGCCAAATTCCATTTTTCTTTTTTTTCCCTTTTTTTAAACAAAAAGTTGAAAAAACTACTCTATATTCTTCTCTCATATACCTTACACAACCCAACCTCTTATCTATGTACAGTTGCAGTATTGCCCTTAAGAGTTTCGGATCGGCACTGACCTCCTCCGTGCCTAAGCACCGCTGCATTCCTAACCTCTAGCTAGGGTTGGCAAGATCAAGCCGGCTGCTGCCAATACCAACTAGGGGGTGCAAGCGGTCTTTCTCTGCTGGTGAACCCAGAGAGTGCCTCAGGAGGCCGTGGGGAATCCAACGGACATGGGGAATCGAACCCACGACCTCCTGAATGCCACTCGTGCGCTCTAACAACTGAGCTAGGCTGCGTTTTTTCATTCGACTTCCATTACTAGTGGTGAAATGACTCAGGGCATACTCACACTAGCACTTCTTTCCTTATTTCTGGACGGAATTGCAGCCAGATGCAGACGAGTCTGGCTGTAATTGCGGTTAGGTGCATTTAGGATAGACGTACTGTGAGTACTCCCTCAAATGAGCATGATAAATAGTATTAAATACTTTGAAATTTGAAAATCAGTTTTCCTAATTTTTTCATGTGTTTAACGGTTTTAACTTTTAACCCCTTGGGTCATTTAATTCCAACCTTGTGCAGGATGCCCCAACCTGGGTGAACTCGCTAAGGAAATCTGGAGCAAGAGAGATGGCTGTTGCTGCTCGCACTGCTAGCAGGAAACTTCAGGTCTGAGCATATCCGGTCTTGTTTTTTCTTTTTTCACTTTTTTTCCCCTTGTTAGCAATACTTTCCAAACATTAGCTGGCGAGTGTGTCTCAATCTGTGTTCCGGAGTCCAGAGCCCATTGTTCTGCGTTTTTCGAATTTATTTTTGCGTTGTCTTTTTTTTTTCAGACTTTTTTGCTTTGCAGTGGAATTAGAGCATATGTGTGTGGACTTCCTAGTGTCCATTTTCATATTGGGATTATGCTGGAACTTTTGCGGCCCAACACAGTCCCTAGTGTCCTTTTTTCCTGGTTCCTTCTTTGGCCCTTGCATGGCCGGGACGCCCGGGCAAACAAGGTGACCCGGGCGGCCTGGCTGGTAGCCTAGAAATAAAATTGAATTTTTAATCAAATAACAAATAAAATGAATATTTGCATAAATTATAACAACAAGATATGATACAATGTCTTAAAGACTTAAATCCGGGAGTTATTCTTTTTCAGTCTACGATAGATTGCGGTTTTTTTTTTTTTTTTTCCTTTTTGCGAGGATGTTTAGTTGGGAACTATCCTGATCTGTCTAGTTTAGTTGGGGAGTATCCTGAACTGTATAGTTTAGTTGAGGACTATCCTATCCTGTTGCCTTAGTTTAGTTGGGGACTATTCTATCCTGAACTGTCTAGTTTATTTGGGGACTATCCTATCCTGAACTGTCTAGTTTAGTTGGGGACTATCTTAAACTGTATAGTGTTGGGGGACTTAATAGTTGGGGGATTATCCTGAGCTGTTTATTTGGGGACTATTCTATCCTGAACTGTCTAGTTTAGTTGGGGACTATTCTATCCTGAACTGTCTAGTTTAGTGGGGGACTGAATAGTTGGGGGATTATTCTGAGCTGTTTATTTGGGGACTATTCTATCCTGAACTGTCTAGTTTAGTGGGGGACTGAATAGTTGGGGGATTATTCTGAGCTGTTTATTTGGGGACTATCCTGAGCGTTATGGTTGGGGGCTATCCTGGAAGTTTGGGACTGTCCTCTCAAGTATATAGTTGGGGACTATCCTGGACTGTACAGCTGGGAACTGTCCTCAAATGTATAGTTGGGATACTATAGTCGGGGACTATCCTGGACTATCTAGCTGGGAACTGTCCTCAAATGTATAGTTGGATACTATAGTTGGAAACTGTCCTGAACTATTGTGGTGATCCATGCAGGCTTGCAATTGGTAAACTGAACATCTGTCCTGTCTGTGTGCTGTCATTTTCTGTGAACCTGTAGGGCATGACGTCAAAGGAACGGACCCAAATACTGTACAAAATTGCAGAGGCTTTGGAAGCAAATGAGGTATGTTGGAAGAGCCTTGGGTATACCAGGTTGCTGATGGATTAGATAATAAGAGAGAGGAACTCTTTGTAAGTTTTAAGGTGACACTGTGACAGCCTTCATTTTGGAGGTGGTTTTTCTTTTGCTACCTTCTTTCCCCAATTCTTAACGCCCCTCATTATCATGCCTGTATTTAGACTGCAATATGGTTCGTGTACATTCATCATCATGGGGGGTTATGTGCACCGTTCAGGGTAATAACTTATAAGGTATCGTATGATTGTTTATGCGTTGGATTTGCCTTATGGCACTTCCCAGATGCAGTTATGTATGCCTTGTTTCAGGAGATTATGGGCCAGATCTGGCAGCTGTTCTGCTTCATGGCAGAACCTTATTGACAAGTTGAGCACGCAATCCCACCCCTGGATATGTACATGGGTGGTTGGGGAATTTTGTGCTTAACTGGGGTGGTTCTAAGTGAAATCATGGTTCGGCACATTGCGGTGGATGGGCTGTGAATCCCTGTGATCCTTGCGGGTTTCATTACCAGAGTCTGTTCGTTTTCGTTCATTTCGCTCCCAATGTCTCAGTGTGTTGCCTGAAAAGAATTGACATTCCGACACATGATTCTGATTCTGACAAGGTTCTTCTTCAGGATCACGGACCACTGGTGGGGGTTGTAAATCTGCAAAAATAGATGTTGTGGCTGACATCATCCTCCATCGTCACGAGGTTATTTTCTCTGGTACTTGGTTGGATTATCATTGCGATGATGGTGCGCATCAGTCGGGTAAAACTAACCCGTCTCACAGCTACAAGTTTTACCCTACTGATCTGTTGCTGAACAGTAACTCTGAACCATAGGTAAAGCTGCAAAACTAATGGCGCATCAGTAAGGTAAGACTAACCTGTCTCACTACGGTCTGTAGCTGAATAGTGTTGTTTCATGTGTCTTTTGACCATTTGAACTTTAGCTGCCAGTAATAGGTCGGGTACAAGTTTTACCCTACTGATCTGTTGCTGAACAGTAACTCTGAACCATAGGTAAAGCTGCAAAATTAGCGGCGCATCAGTAAGGTAAAAGTTCTGTAAAACTAACCTGTCTCATGACGGTCTGTAGCTGAATAGTGTTGTTTCATGTGTCTTTTGATGATTCGAACTTGAGCTACCAATAATAGGTCGGATCCAGAACCACAAGGTCCCGTGCATGTTGAAAAAAAAGAAAAGAAAAGAAACAAGAGACGGTAAGAAACAGGGAGAGGGGGTTGAAAAAGATAAGGAGTTAAGCGAATAGGAAGGGATTCAGGGTTAAGAGTCGAAGGAAGGGTTTAGGGGTTAAGGGTTAGTCGGGTGAAAACAGGGAGAGTTTTAGGGTATAGGAGAGGTAATTTCTACCTGGACGTCTTGGAACAGATAAATCAGGACAGCATTAAGACCGAGGGTTTAGGGTTTATGACTTAGACAGAAACAAGGCAAATGCTGTTATAGAGTTATAGAGGCTTCAAAAGGCGCAGTGTTACAGAATGCTCTTGCATAATCATAGCTAATTGACAGCTTCATAGCTGAGAGGAGCAGATCTGGGATCCGACAGATTGGCATGCAGAGTTAGTACAGGCTAGATTAGGCAGGGCTGAGAGGTGGTGCATCCTTCCTCAGGGAAGTAATCAATGCTGCCCACTCGGGCCTCTCAGCCATAATGGGGAGGAGCGTGCGTGAGTCTTTTATGTATTCCATATTGACTTGCCGGGGGAATAGGAACCGGACTGTCGCTCCCCAGAATGGTAGAAGTGAATATTTATATACCCCCCCCCAAAAAAAAAAGAAAAAAAGAAAAAAAAAGAAAAGGAAAAGTGATGTTTGCTAAGCAATTCCTCGTCGCTCCGTTCTGTTCCGTTCTATTGATGCAGGAGGCTATTCTGGAAGAGAATGAAGCAGACCTGAGAGCAGCTGAGACTGCAGGCATAGCACCTGCTTTGTTACAAAGGCTGAAGTTGAAGGCAGGGCGGGTAGGTTTCGTTAACCTGCGGTCTCTATGCATCTCTGTGAAACTCTGTGATATGAATCATCGGACGTCTCTTTTTTGTGTTCTTCTGTTTATTTCTTTCCTTACCTTTGATCTGTTGTCTTGTAAAAGCAACACCAGAATAATTTTCCTGCCTAACAATATGTTACGGTAGGATGTCTTCAGCATGCACCTGTGTCTCTCTCCAAGCAGGGGATATGGGTTCGATTCCCGTTATCCGCAATTGCGATTTGACGAGGGGAAAAAAACATGCCTACGATCCGGACGTCCGGACCGCCGTCCAGACGGTCCGGATTCGGTCCGGACTCCGGACGTCCGGTCCAGACGGTCCGGGAAAAAAAAAAAAAAAAACGGTCCAGGACCCTTCCCCATTGAGGAGCGAAGCCCCCAAAATTGTTTTGGGGGGTTTTCAGGCCCGTTTATGCTTTTTTGGGGGTTCCAGACATGCTCTCTCTCTATTATAATTTATTAGACAACCCCAAGTTTTTTATTATGAATAATTCATTACCTTTTTATTAGTTTTTTTAACTTTTTTAAGTCTTTTTTTAAGTTTGGTTAGGAATTCTGCCATGACTCTGAGGCAAAAGTGGTTTGCATTGTTATTCTGCATAACATACTTTTTTTTCAGATTTTTTATTTTTATTTTTTTTAATGGTCCGGACATACATCCGGACCATCCGGATTCCCCCATGTCCGGAGGTCCGGAAATGTCCGGAATTCCGGACGTCCGGAAACTACCGGGCACGGGTCCGGTTCCATGTCCGGAAATGCCCGGGTCCGGGTCCGGCGTAGCCATGGAAAAAACTGAGATAAAGCAAATGTGCGTTTCAAAATTTAAAAATTGGCGACAAATCTTGGAAAATGTTTGGCAAACTAAAAAACTTCTCGAAAAAAAAACAAAGTCTTTCAAGGCTCAAAAAAAAAAAAAAAACAAGGCCGGTGAATTTTCACAAAAGTTACAAGCGACACAAAAGAACATCAATTTACGTTACGGCATGATGTCGTCAGCATCAACCTGCATCTCTCTCGTCACCATTTTGAAGTATTTAAATTCATAAATTTGATTTTTTTTATATGCACTGCGTTCTTCCCCCAAAAGAGCTCTTCGTCTAATGTGACTGATCTCAAGCTTCTTTGTGGAATTTAATTATTCTAGAGTCTTTGTGCTCGTGTTGAATTGTTCATTGAAAGCGGAAAGAATAGATCAGGGAATTGGAGAATTGTCTGCGGGCTTTGCTTTAATAACTTAAAAGCGGGTCACAGTATCCGAAGAGACCTGCAAGGTGTTTATAATTCTTTGGTGAAACCGTGTTGTAATGATATTGATTAGTTGAATCGACTGATTGCCTTGCCAGATTGCACAATTGGCAGATGGCATGCGTGCAATTGCAGCAATGACGGAGCCAATCGGAAAGATCATTTCACGCACTGAGGTAAGCGACTACTAGCACTAGAACATTGAAATGGCTTCGGTTTCACAAAAAACATAGTGATCATCACTTTCCAAAGTATCTCGTCGGCAAGACGCTCCATCGACCATGATATGTCCGTCTGGATGGAAAAGTTGTTGCTGTCCTGGTTGTGTGAAACATACACACACACACAGATTTCAATGCTTCTATTATGCTCCGTGTTGTAGTGGTAAAACCGTGAAACTCTTTTGATTGTCGGATTGTGTCAATTCAAGTGTTTTCGTCGTCTGCAATAGGACTAAAGCTGCTTTGATTTTGGATCTACTCATCTGAGTGTAATAGGGGCTGTTGTGGTGAAAATTCGAGCACACAGTTTGTGGAGTTGTGTATAGCGAACATGACAATGCACACAGTGTGTCACAGTCACAGGCATACTTAGTGCCGTTGTGTATGAGGAACATGACAATACACACAGACACATCACACACACACACACACACACACACACACACACACACACACACACACACACACACACGCACACACATCCCCTTGTGGACTTTGAAATATATATGTATACATATGTATATGTGCAAGTGTGCCGCTTTGGCAGCAGATGGGTGTGTGGGCACTTGGCATGGCTTGTGATGATTTGTGAAGGGAATGAGAGAGAGAATCTGGGGTATTTTAAAACAACACACACACATAGTCCTCTGTCGTAGGTAAGTTCCTTCTTGCCGTCCACCCTATGGATCAAATAAATATAGGTATGTATCATAGTTGCAGTGCACCAGTGCGCAGTGCGGTACGAGCCGGTGCGCTGTGCGCTGGAATTACAGTGCGCGCAGTGTGCACGCTGCTGGTGGTGCACCAAGTGCGCCAAAAAAAAAAAAAAAAAAAAAAAAAAAAAACGTGCCCAGAGAGAGAGAGAGAGAGAGAGAGATCAAAGAGCCCCCTTCACGTCAACTCAGGGGCCCCTGCAGGTAACTCAATGGCTCCAACAATACACTTGGACATTGTGGAGGCATTGAGGACCGTTGCTTCAACAAGCAGGATAGCCGTGCCATATATGGAAGAGGTGGGAGCAGACCACCAATAAATGCTGTGGGTTCGAGTTCAGGTCTGTAGCTCGGCAGTTATGGGTCACCAATTCAGCTACACCCTCTTTGTGTCTCCACGAGATTCTCACTGCCTAGCTCCACCACTGCATAGGAAATTACGAAACCCCCACTTTTTTATCTTTTAACTTTTAACTTTTAACTTTTAACTTTTAACAATTAAAGTTTGACCTTTAACTTGAACTTGTTGTCCTCTTGCAGCTTGCAGAAGGTCTCATACTCGACAAGACGACGTCCCCTTTGGGAGTTCTGCTTATCATTTTCGAGTCCCGACCTGATGTACTGCCACAGGTAAAAGATTTGTTGCTCTGTTTATGTGTATATGCGCCTGTGAGTTTCCTCTTTTTTGCCAAGATGGAGGAGGGGGAGGGGGTCAAGTGTGGGAGGTGTGATGGGAGACTATAAGGGTAACAGAGCAAAATGTTTGGTTTGCTAAATTTGCTCTGTTCTTGAGAATGGAAGAGGTGATTGATACTATGGTGCTGATTGCCCTTTTGGAGTTTTTTTTTTTTTTTTCCTTCCCTTTTGCCTGGTCAAGTGGGTTTTCCTACTTTCTTAGCCAAGAAAATAATTTTCTGTTCTAGTAGATACTAAATAGAGTCTATAGACCTCACGGACTGCGTCATTGCCCCAAGATACGACTCTATAAATAATTTTCTGTTCTAGTAGATACTAAATAGAGTCTATAGACCTCACGGACTGCGTCATTGCCCCAAGATACGACTCTATACGAATCTATACGAATCTACACGAATCTATAGACCATTTGTTTTTTGTGTGTTTTTTTTGGGTTAATGGGACTGGTTGGTTGCTGAGAAATCATATGAGTAGAATTCTCCTGCTGGGAATTTGGAATTGAACAAAAGGAATATGTGCGGACGAAAGGAAAGAAAAAAGGTTGTTGTTTGGATTATGCATGTGTGCCTCTTAGGGAGTCTTTGACTTTTGTCGTTTGTCCCTTTTGCCTTCAGATTGCAGCCTTGGCGATTCGAAGTGGTAATGGTCTCTTGTTGAAGGGAGGAAAGGAGGCTGTCAAGTCCAATTCCATCTTGCACAAGGTGCGTTTCGAAAACCATATTAAAAAAAAAAAACAAAAAAAAAGTTTAAACCGCTAGTACCTTTGTCGGTTCGAAAATACTGGGCCTCAGACCTTTCAGGAGGCCGAAACGAAGCGACGGCCGCCGATCAGATTTATCAACGGCAGACGTTGTCAGGCCCGGCCTCCTGAAAGTTCGGAGGTAAACCAAAACTTGTCGAAACCGGATGGCAAAGGTACTAGTGGTTTAAGAAACCATATTTGAAATATGTCTGTATGTTTATCTCTCTCTTTTCGTTAGAATGGTTTCTTACAAACCGTTACAATGGGCACCTTTTTAATTTATCTTTTTCTACTAGCTCTGGACGTGATTGCAGTCAAATTTATCTCAGTCTGGCTGTAATTGCAGTCAGATTCATTTAGCAAAGTACTGATGTGAGGAGTAGAGTACGCCCTAAATCTGACTTTTACATGGTACAGACTGTAGGAGGTTTTCATTTCTTTAAATTCGAAGTTCTACGATTCCAGGCCATTCTCCTCCTCTCTGCAGACTCCCTTTTGCTATGCCTTGTTTGTGATCTCGTACTTTTTCCCTTTAAAATGAATCCAAAATTTTTGAATCGTACCAATTTCAACGGATGTTCCGGAGGACTCTCGTACATTTTCTCTCTCCTCTCTTTTCCATTTCTTCATCGTGTCTTATGTGCCATGTCTCAACCGTGTACGCATCTTTACCTGTCCTCAAGTCCTGGGCTGTGATTCATCATTCATGCCTCTTACACTTTTTCAAGTTTTGTGTGATCTTCTTCTTCTGTCAGGGAAGACTCGCACTAGGACGTTCCTGGATGTATCTTTGCCATGATGTTGGTTCTCTATCGACTATTTTTTTTTTCCCACCATAGCCCTACTGTTCTCTGTACGACGATTTCTCTACCACTCCGGATGCACGACAACCTCCCATGCAAGTTCAGTTTTTGCATACAACGGACAGCTCCTGTATGTTTAATATTGTTAGTTGGAACGTATCCAATCTTTTTTGTGTGTTTTGTTTTTCTTATGTCCGTTCTCTTGGGCTCATTTTAAGTATTTCAAAGTTGTGCAAGGCGTCAAATATTATGAGAATCCGTCTTTGTAAGATACAGTCCCACCTCACCTAGCCGTTCTCTTGGGAGTTTCAGATATGTTTATAAAAGTTGGCGGTTTCCAATGTGGCAGCAGCTGCAGTAAAATATTTACGGATCCGTACGTTCTGGACTTAGAACTTCTGCGTGGAAGCAGGGATTCATAAAATAGTTACCGATTTACGGATCCGTACTTTCTGGATTTAAAGCACTAGTACCTGTGTCGGTTCGGAAAATAGTGGGCCTCCGACCTTTCAGGAGGCCGAAACGAAACGACGGCCGCCGATCAGATTTACCAACTGCAGCCGTTGCCGGGCCCGGCCTCCTAAAAGTTCGGGACTAGGCTAAAACTTGTCGAAACCGGACGGCAAAGGTACTAGTGGTTTAAGACCTTCTGCGTGCAAGCAGGGATTCAAACCTGTGCCAGACCTTCTGCGTGCAAGCAGGGATCCGAACCTGTGCCCTTGTCCACAAGAGCCAGGTCTCTTAACGACTATAGTCAGGACACCGTGTACAAAAGTGGGACCATACTGGTCGTGATATCCACCCCAGTCCTGCATGGCCGTAGTGTCCTTCGCTCGCTCGCACACCCAGACAAAACACCACACGGGGGCGCCAGTAGTTGCATGCTCCACGCTGATCCAGCACTTGACCCCCCACTGCTCCATTGGCCGGTCACACCATATCGGTCGAATGCACACTCTAATTATCTACGATGATTTCAGTAAAGACAAACAATCAGTGGCATATTAAAAAATGTCGTTATTCTTCGCATCTTGAACGTTTAGGACAGATCACTGAGATGCCTGATATTTTGCACATGTTTATAAATAATGAAGGTGTGCAATGTACTGATAAATTAATGTTGGTTTTTTCAACTTTTTTGTCCTCTCCCTGCTATGGTACAGGTCATCACAGAGGCATTGCCAGCTTCAGTTGGCCCTGAACTGATTGGCCTCGTGCGAACTCGGGATGCAATCTCAGATCTTCTCCAGGTATCTGTCTAGAAAGGGAATTCGGTTCCTGGTCATATTAAGAATGGAGTCCAAAAAAAGTTATGTTCGCTTCTCGACTTGAGAATAGGGTCTAAAAGAAAGCTTCTTGTTTCATGACTCGTAAAAATAAGGTCTAAAAGAAAGCTTCCTGTTTTGCGACTGATAAGGAGAGGCGTAGAGCTGCTCTTCTCTGCTTGTATAGGCGTAGGGCTGCTCTTCTCTGCTCGTATAGGCGTAGAGCTGCTCTTCTCTGCTTGTCGGAGCAGCAGTTGTTAATACTGTTATATTATATGGTTATGTCCTCACCGTATATGTGAAGAATGTGGGACTTGAATCTAGACTTCTTTCCCTGTAGGGTACATCTCACTAGGGTCAGCCTGGAACATAATGCACTCTGGAGCTATTATTCCGGCCAGTTACAGTCATGATGAGGTTGTGTTGTGTTCTGGAGAAGGCGGTAGGATTATCCCCATCAATAGGATGGGGTATCATGACCAGATACGAAGAAGGCGATAGAGATTAACTGACCAGTCTGGTCAGACCCCACTGGGCAATATGGACTCCACTCGACATTCTCTCTCTCTTTTTTTTTTTTTAATGTGAACATTATTTTGTTCTGTTGTTTGATCTCTTATTTGCTTCCTGTTTTTCATGTTGTTTTCTCCACATAACTCTTTCCGTCCTCCTCGCTCTGTTTTCTTCCTCCATATTTTCTTTTGCTTCATTGCAGCTTGATGATGTCATCGACTTGGTCATCCCACGTGGAAGCAATCAGCTTGTGAATCACATTAAGCAAAACACCAAGATCCCAGTGCTTGGGCATGCTGGTGAGAAATCTTATCCACTGGACTTAATTTAATTTTTAAAATTTTTGTTAAAATTTCATATGTGGGATGCGGATCCCGGTTCTCAGAACGTGATGCTCCCCACGAACAGATAGGAGCATTGTCCACCCCCCGCCCCCCCCAAAAAAAAGAGCCTCTTAATTTAGTAATAAATGAATACTTTAATAAATATTCTGAAATGACAAGACTGTTCATAAGCTTCTCTTGGACACTCACCTGTTCATCTGCTCTGTTGATCCATCATGCCTTCGGGTTTCTTGTTGTCTCATTCGGCTTTAGAATGCTTGTGGTTGTGTTCCCTTCAATGCTTGCATACTTTTAGCTGAGTTACATACATACATACATACACTCAGTCTTCTTCCTCTTCCCCCCCCCCCCCCTCTCCCCCCCTCCTCCTCTCTCACTGGGCTGTCCTTTGTTTGGGCCTTCTAGGTCCAGTTGTATGTCTGTGAGTGCATGTAGAGTGTTGTGCGTATTTAATATTTATGCCTAACTTAATATGTTGAAAAATTGTTGACATTCTGGCAAGGGTGTGGAAACTGTGGGGGATAGATTGATCGAACGCTATCATTTGTATTTCGATGAGATTTGTGACACTGACGGTTGTTGGGATGAGTGCGTGTGGACTGTTTTGCCTATTTATTTATGCCTTCTTTTTTGTTTTTTTGGACCATTTCTCGACTTATGTGTGTCATCTTTGCACAGGGTGTCATCTTTTCACAGGGGCCATGCCAATCTTCTCTGTATGGTTCCAATTTTTAACGGATGTCCCGAAGGACTTGCATATTTATTAATTAGGCCTAACTTGAAGATGTTGAAAAAAATGTTGACGGTCTGGCAAGGGTGTGCAAACTGTGGGATAGATAGATTGATTGTACGCTTTCATTTGTATTTCGATGAGATTTGTGACAGTGATGGTGCTCTGGTTGAGACTTTGGCAAAGACAGTGAAAATGAACTGTGGGGTCAAGACACAAAGTCCCTCGCTCCACTGCTCACGACATGCACAAATGACCAAAAAAATGTGGATGTGTATCTTCCCATGTTGTAGCGGAAGAATCATTCTCATTTTGCAACTACTCACGATATGCACAAATGGCAAAAAAAATATGGATGTGTAATATCTTCCCATGTTCTAGCGGAAGAATCATTCTCATTTTGCAAATTTCGTGAGTAGTGGAGCGACGCCCAAAGTCCTACTGGACTCACTGGAGTGAATCGTTGCTGTCCAAGTGTTTTAGGTGTGGAGGAGTTTTTTTAACTTTTTTTATTATTTTAAACAATTGGAAGCACATTTTTCATGTACAAGCGCTTTTTTTTTTTTTTTTCAACACTTTGAGAATGAACTGGGTTTCTAGCACGTAGAACCATAGCGCCAGAAACTAAAGTGATGCTTGAAAAATAGAAAAAAGTATCGTTGTATTGATTAATCTTTCTGTAGCTAGCGAATGATTGACTGGCCCATTGGGTACGTGATCCATTTGGGTGAATGGGCTGTTTGAGTGGGTGAGTGGTGGTCCGACGATCAATTGACTGTTCCATGGGGGGTCCAGTTCGTTGAGCAGCTAATTTACCGGTCTCTCTATCACTGATCCAGTCTAAGGGCCTCGCCACACCACTGTCGAAACGAAAAAAGTTTGCGTGCATCTTCACGCACAGCGTGGCAAGATGCATCCGTTACTATGAATAGCAACGGATGCATCCTACCACTTTCTGGGGAAGATTCATTCATTCTTTTTTCGTTTCGACAGTTGTGTGGCGAGGCCCTAACATGCAGTGTTGGGTCTTTGCGTGGATGTTTGTTGATAATCATCGGCGTTTTCAAAAAGTGATTCCAGGTTGCAACGCTGACCGCTTCTGGTGAATTGTTTTTCCCGCTTCTTTGCCCTCTGTAGATGGTGTATGTCATGTCTTTGTGGATAAGGATGCAGATCTTCGAAAAGCGAAGAAGCTTGTGGTTGATGCCAAGATTGACTACCCCGCTGCATGCAATGCAATGGTAAGTAGTGACAGGAGGGATGGCTACCATAGTCGCATTATCTGTTCCCACCTGCACAACTTGATCAACCCACCACATTCACCTTCTGCTCTCCGTTCTCCGTCGACCCACCCACTCACCACCTCCGCTACCCCCTCTCACCCTTTCGCCCCCCTCGGCTCCCCCTCTTCAAAAATAAAGGCAAACCATTCAGAACACAAGCTTCATTCACCAGGCCACATGCCGACACAAGCAAGTAGTACAGCTCCAGAAAAAATCGAAAAAAAAAAGGGAAAACAACAGCAAGACAGCTGTAATTTATTTTTTTTGCACATGTTCATGGATTGCCATGTCAAGAAATACTCCAGCGTAGTAGAAGCAACACTCGAGCCTCGCTTCCAGCGACAGTTGGTTGCTCATATCTGTCATTATGTTCTCTGGCTATGGCATTTGCAGGAGACGATGCTTGTTCACAAGGATCTCGTCGAATCTGGAGGCTTCCAAGAACTCTGCGACGCCCTTGTTGCAGCAGGTTTGGCCACCCACCTTGAGCATGATCTCTTACTCACCTGCCCTGTTGCCTTGCACGTTGTATATTGTGCATGTGTTAGGCATTTGGCAAACCTCAACTTTGTTCCATGCGCAGCACTCTAACAGACTGAAGCAAAGTCAAATAAGCAAAGACAAATTCTCGAAGATGTCAATTTCGGCAAAAAGGTTTACACCAAGCTGATATTGAGCAATCACACTGGTGCATGTGATTTGCATTCAATTGTCAAATGCCATCTACATTCAGACAAACCTTGCGCTCACCAAACCCCACACCATAGGTTGATGGGATAGTGAGAAAATGGGGGGTAGTGAGCTTCCACCCTTTGTTGTCTCCTGCCATGGTGCGTATCGTGTTATCCCGTTCGCCACCGTGCTCCTCCTGAGGTGCCCGTCTTTTGACATCACAGGGATCAAGCGCCTTGAGGGGCTTGAGGGGCTTGAAAGGACTTGAGGGTACTAGTAGTCTTCCCCCGAACATAATGTGTCTTCCCCCGAACGTAATGAATATGCGTTGTTTTGAGTTCCTAATAAAAAACGATGATTCGAATAGAAGTTATAGAACTCGTATGCGTTGTATTCGAATTTAAGGACTGTTTGAATAGAATGCATATGCGTTGTATTCGAATAGGAAGCAACCTATGTGTGACAATGCATATAATATGTGCATTATGTTCGGGGGAAGATGGTAGTAGTCTAGTAGTGTGCGAATTCCTTGCAGAAATTTTACATAAGCAAAGATCATTCGCTGAAATACGTGGTATTTTTTTATTACTTCTCACAATCCTTTGCCGCCCATTGGTTTTCAAAGCTGCTATGACGGCGTACTCACACTAGGACTTTTCATCTATTTATTATGGATGTAATTGCAGTCAGATACATGCAGGTGAGATGCATTTAAGATAGAGCTAACTATCTTCGCCCGAATCGAACGCCTGGTCCTTGTTGCCGTATCTGGACTGAAAGTTGCACCAAATACAGCTATAATGACCAGGCGTTCTATTTGGGTTCAGATGGGAGTGTGAGTCTGTCCTGCACTGTTTCCCTGGGCATGCATAAGGAGATATTGCTTCAGAGATTTGTCGGTTCTATTATCCTCCCATGGTGTGCCTGATCACACACACGCAGAGAGACGCAGAAATGTGGGAGGACTTGAGCTTGATGTTTAGCGACTACTTTTCAACTGCATCCTTATTATTTCTTCGGTAAATTTGCCCCTGCATGGCTGCTGTATTAATAAGTTGTAGTGTTTAACTGTTGGCTGTGCCTGTGGTGATGATAAAAGGCGTCGTGCTGAACGGCAGCAAGAAGACAGCACCCCTGCTAAACTTGCCAGTGGCTCCAAATTTCCACAAGGAGTATGGTTGCAATGAGTGCACAGTGGAAATTGTTGACGATGTGGGCGCAGCGATTGCGCATATCCATGAATTTGGGAGGTACGATGTTTCTGAATCTTGTCGATTATGGGTGTCGCTCCACTGCTCAAACGAATGCGCAAAATGAGAAAGAATCTTCCGCTAGCTAGAACATGGGGAGTCCGTGAATTGGGAGGTATGATGTTTTCTGAATCTTGTTGATTATGGGCGTCGCTCCACTGCTCAAATGAATGTGTAAAATGAGAATGAATCTTCCGCTAGAACATGGGGAGTCCGTGAATTTGGGAGGTACGATGTTTTCTGAATCTTCTTGAGTATGGGTGTCGCTCCGCTACTCAAACGAATGTGCAAAATGAGAATGAATCTTCCGCTAGAACATGGGGAGATGCCCTGCCATACTCCTTGTCTTTTGTCCATTTGGTGAGTAGTGGAGTGAGGCCCTATGTTCCGCTTTTTGTTGTAGCCTTGTTCTTTCACTCGGAAAAAAAAAGAGAATAAAAAAGAAAGCCTTGTTCTTTCGCTTCAGAACAGTGACCAGTATTTGGAAGTTCATCTGTTTAGCTATTTGGCTATTTGGCTATTTGGCTGTTTGGCTATCTGCACTTTTAGTTAACTCCTTGGACACAGAGATTCTGCAGTCGTCTCATCGTATTGCTAGACCACAGTGGCGTTCATGAGCTTGTTGGGTTTTTCAACTTCCCCCCCCCCCCGCAAGCTTGAGCTCCATGTGAGGATTGAACAATTTGGCTCTTCTTGCGCGCATGCAGCACATGCACATCACTCGCTCATTTTTGCTTTTTTGAAAGGTTAGGTGTATGTTGTAGGGTTTTTTTTTTTTTTTTTTGTCAATCAAAATTCATTACCGAAACATCAAAAGTAGTCGATAGTACTTGATACACTGGAATTATGATTTTAATCATTTTATTGAATTCATTCCCTTATAGTACAGCATCTGCTACGTTGATCGAACATCATAGATGTCATGATGGATGGATATCCTAGGCAGTCTGGCGTGGACCCTCTTCCAAAACGACTGCGTCAATCTTTTGTATTCTCTTTTTCTTTTCTTTTTTTCCAAGGCGAATATACATTCCGAGGAGCTACATACAGAACAATCACGTGTGGTTCTGTTTTTTGTTTTGTTTTCGTTTTGCAGTGCACACACAGATACAATTGTGACAGAGAATAAGGAGGCTGCAGAGTATTTCTTGAAGAATCTCGACAGGTTAACCCACCGAACTCCCTTATGCTGTTGTTGTCCACAGGCATAGAGATTTTACAGAGGGGATGCATGTGTGTGTGTGTGTGTGTGTGTGTGTGTGTGTGTGTGTGTGTGTGTGTGTGTGTGTGTGTGTGTGTGAGAGAGAGAGAGAGAGAGAGAAACAGATTGTTAGGAAGGCTCCTTTTGTTGGCCTTGTCGATTCCTTACATGAGACCACTCCTGTTAGAACTCTGTGTGTGTGTGTGTGTGTGTGTGTGTGTTTGAGAGAGAGAGAGAGAGAGAGGAAGAAGAAGAAGAAGAAGAAGAAGATTGTTAGGAAGGCTCCTTGTTGGCCTTGTCGATTCCTTACATGAGACCACTCCTGTTAGAACT